AAAATACTATCTACAGGTTATATTCTGTACCAACTTTTTTACTATTTTTTGAAAGTTCACCACTATCCATTGTTCGCTTCTCTTTGCTTCCAGGATCATTCATTAAATTTGCAGACGTGGTGGCCTAATAGTTGCATTGAATTAATCGTAGAATTCAAAATTTTTTTAGACAATTACAGAAATAAAAAATTACATTTACTGACCTTAAATTCCGACAACAATCGATTACCTGTAACATGAAATTCCTCTATGACATTCGATTCGACTTGAATAAATTGTTGTTTCTAAATGGTTCATAATAGACGAATTAATAATAGTGACATTGTTATATAGGCAATATATACTGTATATACTCACTTTTTTTTCGTCCAAATGAAGTTGCACATTACGGGTTTTAAATCTCTCATTTCGCAGACGAATATTTTCCCAAAATTGCTGAACGTTATGAGAGTTGATTTTTTCGTTATAAGTCTCAAGCAGGATGCGAGCTTTCTCAGATTGTTCTCCATTACCGGATGCAATAGCCTTCAATGCTTCATGACATACTTCCTCAGCTTGTTTTTTTTGCGATAATGGGAACTCGGTCTTTGAAAAGAACTTAACAATATCATATCCTTTTGCTAAAATATTTTCTAAAAGTTGAATGTAACCTTTGATCGTAAAGATATCAAGTGTTAATAAAAATTCTAAGTTGATATTAGTTGATTTTTTTTTTTTCAACCCGAAACTTCCTCAGACAAAATAAAGTCGCTCAAATGATGAAAGCTGTTTCCGTGACAACACCAGAGGCAGAAAATGTACTCTCCAGGTGGAAGACATATCCCCGCTGGTTTTATATGCCCCAGAAACACTGGATCAAGGAACCAGAACCCTATGCATCTTTCAAAAGTTGCTTATACAGCCAATTTACGGACAACACACAGAGGCATGAAACACGCTCTCCAACTGGAAGATGAGTACCCTCAGGTTTTACAGGCCGTAAAACGCCGAGTTTATCAACATAAAGTTAAAATTATACAATTATACTTAACTGGTAGCAGTAGTGGACATAGTTAAAGCTCGAGAATAAACAACAA